GGCGGCACGGCACAGACCAGGTCCGGGCCCTTTTCCAGAGCCGTGAGCGGGAGCAGCGACGCGCGGGAAGTCTCCCGGCTGGTGGCGCTGCGCACGCGCGCGGTCCCCAGGTCCATCCAGGAGGTCATCGCCTCGCTGCAGTCTGAAGCCCAGCTGGCCTCGGACCAGACCATCAGAGAGCTCAAAGAGAGCATCCTGGGCGAGAACTACGACATAAGAATGAAAGTAGGTGAATCAGAGGAGAGTAATGCTTCTTGTGGGTAAATTGCGTGTGTGTGTGTGTGTGCATGCGCGCGTGATTTCATTTATGTATAATTTTTTCAGTGAATATGATGTGCTGTAACAGAAAACTCCACGGTGTTACTGAATTCCAGTACTCTGTGGCATGACAGGCGTGGTAGGATGTCCTGAGATACAGTTCCCTGGACTAGAAGATCATCTGCCCTCCTTATCCTAGAATTCACTAGAATTATCTTCACTATTTGATGATGATGAACTTGAGTCTGATGAACTAACACAGCTACTATCTGGTCCATTAGCCTTGCTTCTGCCTCTAGTGTTCTTTCAGTATCATCCATTAGCCATGTTGGGATAGCTTGTCTACAGAAGGAGAACGCTTTATAAGATTGGGAATCCTAGATGAATTTTGAATTTGTTGCTGCTGTTGTTCTACATGATGGTGAATTTTACTGTTTCCTTCAACTGTTGTTTTTATTTACTTATTTATTTATTTTCTGCCGCATTGTTTTTCTAGTGGGTGTTCTCCACTATCATGGATAGCAATCAAAATGCATTCTTTTAAGTAAGGTTTCTTTGAACCTTTGAAAAGAGTTACTGCTGTAGCTGAACCTTCTATATTTGGCAGAGTTACTGTCACTTGTTCACCTTTGCCAACCTCCAAGTGCCCTTCACAGGAAGTGTCAATAAAAGTAGGTTTGAAATCGTAGCGTACAGTATAGAAGGCATAGTGCAGCTGCTTCTTGAAACACACCTAACTTGTGAACTTGCCGACTATGACCCAAGTGCATAAGTCTGGCTGGTCCATTCATCACTCCCCTCCCTCTCTGACTTGGCCTTTGCTACTGTCAGCCACCTCAGCCCAAAGAAGCTGTGGAATGGGCATTTTATATGAAAAAGCCACTTCCCCGCTTTGTTTGGCCTCATTAGTGAATTCTGGTAAAAGTGAATTTATATCCTGAGATCAGTGTTATTACTATTAAGAAATTCAATTTGTAAGAATTCTATAATATCGCCACTGGAAATATTTCCCTTGACGCATTTCAAACATGTATTTTCTGGGCCTTTTCCAGTTAGAAAGACTTAGAAGAGAGGTGCTTCAGGTGTGCAAAACATTAGGGTAGACTTTATGTGCATTTTTATCCCAACAACAATTACATCAGGTAGAAAAAATATCAATAAAAGTATTGTTTTATGTAGGAGGCTTTCTAGCTCTAGCAAGGCTAAAGAATTGGCACAATATCCTACAGCTAATGCACGGCAGAGCTAGGATTCCACTCAGGCAGACGCACCCCAGACACTAGCTTGGAATTATGCCCAAGAAAGTCTGTTTATTGGCTACAATATGGCCCCCACAGGAAGCAAAGCGAGGCAGGGTCATATTTAAATATAAGATATTTTGTCCATTATATAGACTTTACTTTGGTGGGGACATTGAAAGAAGGAAGGAAATGAGAGAAAGAGGAAGAGATGGGGGGATGGAAGGAGGCAGACTTTGAGAATAACAGTGGGAATGACAGTAAGAGGGAAGATTCTATTACGGTTCTTGGCTATAGCTCAAGATCTCTTGCTAGTACACAGAATACCACTGCTGACATTATGTCTTTAAAATAGTTTCAGCCCCAAAATACACGCTTGGCTGTGATTTAAGGAATGCTATCGTGAAGAGAAACAAAAACACATATGAGCCAGAGAGTATCCAGTATTGTCTTTGACTATGTTTGTGAGCAGAGTATTACAAGTATTCTGAATTAAGATTCATTCACATCTCCTTTTAGTTACCAAACAAAGTAAAATCTGACTGTCTGGGCCATTTCAAACTGAGTACTTCTAATTAGATTTCTGTAAATATAATTGAAAAAGGAACCAGGGATTCCATTAAAAGAGCCTATTAGAATGAGCCTTAGCAAAGAGAAAGCCTCAGTCCCCTATGAATAGGCCTACCACCTTAGGGTATGGTTGATATGAACAAGTCCTGATAGTAGAAACTAGCTGAGAAGTCCTATAGTATTTTAGGGCTGGAGCCCAAAAGAGAGATAATATCAGGGTGGGGGATTTAGCTCAGTGGCCCCGTGCCTGCCTGGCAAATGAAAGGTCCTAAATTCAATCCCCAGTACTGCACCCCCCAAACAAACAAAGAAAACCACCAAATAAAGAAAACATCATGACTCAAGTGGAACTAGAGGTATATGAAAGAAGATTATCAACTGAATAGTGACTACTGGGACAGTGAATTCTGTTTGCCTACCAGAAATATTTATTTTTCCTTTGTCTGCTTTTTTTGGTGTTTCAGTTACCTGATTTAAAAAGGGGTAGTATAAGTGGAGAGTCCACACTTTCAACACTACCTGGCAGTAAAAAGGCCATTCTTTCCATACTCCTTGTAGTGTCACTGGAGATCATGTAGAAAGCAGTAATGAGGTACTCATTCCTTACAACCAGCACAGTGTCAGCTGTATTCCCACTCTGCAGTAATCAGGCAACCCCCAGTAATGGTGCCAATCGAGGATATGGAACTTGGACATCCCCTATCTGGCAGTAATGCAACCCCCCCCATTTCCTTGTTAGACTATCAGAGAAAGCCAGCTTAAGAATTAGACTTGTACAATACCAAAATGTCCAATTTTAAGTAGAATAGTTGCTTGTCATGCCAAGAACCAAGAACATCTCACCTTGAAAGAAGAAAAGTCAATCAGGCTAGGGATGTTGCTCAGTAGGTGGAGCATTTGCCTAGTATGCACAAGGTCCTAGATTCAATCCCCAGTACAACAAAAAGAAAAAAAAATCAGTAAACAGAGATGCTAGAATTATTGGACAGAAATCTTAAAGCATCCCTCAAAATGCTTCAGCAAGCAATTATGACTATCTTTGAAGCAAATAAAAAAGTATAAAATATGAGCAAAGAATAGAAAGTCTCAGAAGAACCAAAGAAAAGAATTCAAGTTGAAAGCTGCAATAACTGACATAAAACTAGATGGATTTCAAAACAGAACAGAAAAGCTAGAAGGTATAATCAATGAACTTGAAGCTAGAATGACATAGCTTATATTAAGTAAAAAACAGACACTAGATGAGAAAAAATTAGTCTCTCCAGGACCCCTGGAACTATAGCAAAAAAGAAAGGAGAAAAGGAAGACAAGACTGAAAAAATACTGAAAGAAATAATGGCTAAAAACTTCTCAAATTTGGCATGAGACATAAAACTACTGATTTAAAAAGCTGAGTGAATCCAAAACCTAAGAAATTCATACTCAAACATATAATATTATACTTTTGAAAATTAAAGTCAAAGAAAAAAATCCTTGAAAACAGTGAGAGGAAATCAATGAAAAAGCTTGCATAACAAAGGATTTCTTATCAGAAACTCTGCAGGTCAGAAGTAATTGACACAGCATTTTTCAGGTGCTGAAAGAAAAGAGCTATCCACTCAGAATTCTATGTCCAAAATTATCCCTCAGAAATCAAGACATTCTCAGATCTACCTCAGGTTTAATCCCCTACTGCAAAACAAAGCTCTAATGAAATAATATAGATAAATTAGTATTCTAAAAGATACTAAGTAACAGATAAGAAAGTAGGTAAAAGTAAATAGAGAAACAAAAAGAAAACAAAAACAAAAACAAAAATAAAATAGCAGACTCAAAAAGCCAACATATCAGTAACTGCATTAAGTGTAAATGGTCTAAATAATCAAAAGAAAGAGATTAGACAGATGGATTAAAAACATGATAATGTAGATAAAAGTAAATAGAGAAACAAAAAGAAAGCAGAAAATAAAATAGCAGGCTTAAAGCCAACATATCAATAGCTGCATTAAGTGTAAATGATCTAAATAAACAACTGAAAGACAGAGGTTAGACAAATGGATTTAAAACATAATCTATGTATAGTTTATAAGAAGCTCATTTCCAATATGAAAATGTGGGCAAGTGAAAATAAAGTATGAAAAATACACCATGCACATATTAATGAAGAGAAACTAAGAGATGCTCTATTACTGTCAGATAAATTACACTTCAGAGCCAAAAAATTTGCCAAGATCACAAGACTTTATAGTATGATAAATAGATCTAGTCATCAAAAAGACAAAAAAACTCTAAATGTATATTACCAAATAGTAAAGCTATAATATATGTGAAGTAAATACTGAAAGGAGAAATATTTAAATCCAAGATAATAGATTCTAACACCCCTCTTTGCAACAGTTGATTAAAATCAAAACAGAAGCCGGCCATGGTGGTACATGTCTATATTCCCAGAGCTCTGGAAGCCGAGGCAGGAAGATTGCAAATTCTTTCCTAGCCTAGACAATTTAGCAACTTATGACACCATCCCTGTCTCAAAATTAAAAGAGTGGTGGGTGGCTAGGAATGTAGCCCAGTGCAAAGGCTCTGGATTTAGTACCCAGTACTGTAACAGCCAAAAAAACAGCTACATAAAGAATTCCCAGAGACACAAAAAACTGACACATCAGCCACCAGGAACCTAGACTACATCTTTATAAACTGACCCAATAATAACAGGACATTTTTGTTCACTGCTCATGGATCATATACTAAGCTAGAATGTGTAATGAATGATAAATTAATCTCAGTGTGAGAGAATTAAAGTTCTAAGTGTGTTTTCTGACCAAAATATAATCAAACTAGAAATCAGAAACAGATACTGCGAAAAATTTCAAACATTTGGAAACTAGTATAATTCTAAATCATCTATTGGTCAAAATGGAATTCTCAGTGCAATAAAAATAATGCACCAAACTAAATTAAGGTAGGAATATAACACTTCAAAATTTGTGGACTGTAGCTAAAATAAACTCTAGCACTAAATATGTACAATAGGAAAGATGCAATGTATCAGGTCAATAGTCTAAATTCCGAGCTAATGTTTTAATAGCTGGATTACTGAAATAAATAACCAGGTGTTTATTTAAAAATAGATTTAGTCGTTGATTTTTAGCAAGGCTTATTGTAGCTTTGACAAACAAGTTCTAAAATCTATGTGGAAAGGCAAAGGAAGTAGAATAG